CATTTACAATAAATATTTCATAATATTTATAATAAATGTTTATAATCTGTGCAATCTAAGACCACAAAAATATTTACAAAATATTTAAAATAAATTTTATAAATATTTATAAATATTTTGTAAATATTTTACATATATTGTGTGCTGTCTGGAATATAATATACATAAAATAAAAATAATTGACATACGTACTACGTATTTGATAAAAAGAAGTTCGAAATGTTTTGAAGTGAGCAAAATATTCAATAGTGACATTATAATATGAAATATTTAATTTCTTTTCATATGTACATTATATATGTAATGTTTCTTATATTACACATACAACCTTTTTGGTCAGTTACACAAAAATATTTCTCCATTACATTCAAATTGCCATATACAATTTGATGATATAAAGTAACTATTACAAGAAATATAACAAAGAAATCGCAGGTTATTCATATAAATATCACTACATTTTGCTGGCTCAAGTAAAGAACGCGGTGCTGTGTTTCGAAGGTAAAAATATGAAGGTAAAATTAATATTTATAAAAATAAAATATTCTGTTTCTTTTATATCAAACGGTACACATGTTTCATGATTAATCTTTTAGGAAACCGTATATGTGACATCTGATTTATTATTATATACATCAACTTCTTTTCGATATATTTTTGAATGTTTAAAATTAGTCTATTGAAAAAATTGAAAAATGTTTCATCTATTAAATAATGATATTAAATATTTTAGTTATTATTATAACATACTTTTATAAAAACATTAGATAATACATATCATATAATAATTATATTTATATGTTCTAGTATTATTATTAAATTATTATATTATATATATATATATACAATATTTTAAGTATAGAAAATTACGTTGATACAAAAGATTGTAAATATTGTAAAATAAAATATTTAAAAAATGTTTACGTGCAATAAAAGTTGTTCCTATTATGCAGAAACGACGGCCGCGTGCAAAAAATTCTCTGCAAAACTATTCTCGTATGCATGAACGTTTTCCGACCAAAGCAAAGAGCATTCACGATTCGAAAGGACAAAGTTTTAAACAAAGCTATTCTAAGCTTCAGCAAAACGATGAATATTGCGATAATACATCATGCCTAAAGAAAAACGCATTTGGTTCGTTGGAATCTCTCTTCGACTTGAAGAAACCATTGAATTTAAGTGATGTATTTCCTTTAGCATTCCGTTACCATAAGCAACAATTAATCAAAACATCCAATGCTACAAAATCAGAACCATTCGTAAAAGTATTATTTCTGCAATCTTTTTCATCACAGACAAATCTTGAGCCGTTTGTTTTCAAAGCGGTAATTATGTTATTATATCATAATATTCTATCGCTTTCATTCTCCAATTATTTGTTCTTATACTTTTGTAACAAGAATTAATTTTGTATTGTTCAAAATCATTAAAAAGTAAGAGTAACAAGGGCTGAAATAACTTATGGTACTTGCATACTTTATATTATAATAAAACTAATAATTTTTTCAGTATGAAAAATGTGACAAAGTAAAAGTTGAACAAAATACAAATAATCAAATAAAGAAAAACCAAGAAAACGAATTCCTGTTGGAAGTCTCAAAATCCGTGGAATTAAATGATTTGATTCACTATCAACAAAATCGCTCAGTGTAATAATTTCTTTATTTACGTAGTATTTTTATATGTTATATCTAATAACACCATAAAATATAATAACATATGTATGTAGAAATATGGCTGAAAACAAGATACCGGACAGCGAAGTACAAGAAGAGGAAGAAAAGAAAGCTACAATTGAAGATACTATCGTAGACGAAGGATCTGCTGCGATAGAAGATCTTAAAGAACATCAAATTGAAACTAAAAAAAAGAATAATGATGAGGATGAGCGAGAAGATGAAGCTAAGGATAAAGATAAAAATGAAACTACAGAAGATAAAACTAATGACAAAGATGAAGTTGAGAAAAATAAAACTGATGACAAAAACGAAATTGAAGGAACTAAAACTGATGACAAAAATAAAATTGAAGGAATTAAAATTGATGAAATCAAAATTAAAGAAGATAAAGCTGATGACAAAATTGAAAACAATGGTAAAAATAAAATGACAATAAAAAAAATTAAAGATAGAGATAATTTACCAGAGGATCTCTGTTTTATTCTTTCTATTTGATGAAAGATATATTTCTATTATTTAAAATTAATAACACAAATGATATAGATTAATAGCATCTAATTGTAATTATTTCTTCTCTCTCTCTCTCTCTCTCTCTTTCTCCCTCTTTCATTTTCAAGTTATTACAAGTATATTTTAAAAGTGTAGATGAAGTGACAAAATCTGAGGAAATTGTAAAGCCGATAATAAATGCACTTGTTAAAACTGATGATATAATCATAGAAGTAAAAGTAATGAATGAGAGATTTATTATGTTAACGGATGAAGTCAAACAATTAAAGCGTGAAGTTTTTGAATTGTCAGAGGTAATCAGAGGTTTCATTATTATTTAATATAACTTTATATTAATACGATAATTATAATTTATAATAATATTTCTTAATCAGAAACCTGAATTAACAGAAGAAGATAAGCTTGCGTTTCAAGAGAAACAAAACATTCTTACTTCAAAAGTAGCGGAACTAGAACAATTGACACAAAAAATTCAAAAAGTATACGTATTACGAAAATATTTAAAAGATATTTAATATCTATATATAATCCTACTTAAATTATTTTACATGTAATCATATCTTTGCGATAAGCTTGAAATTCTGCAATAATGCGTGTCAATAAAATGAAATCAATAAAATAATATATTGCTATTTGTTAAAAATATAATGCGATAAATATATTGCAGGCGCGAGAGAAAGTAGAACGGCTTCGTAAAGTGGAAAAAGAAACTGAGATAAGAAAAAGAGACATAGAACCATTCAAAAAAATTTTAGAAGAAGATCACTTCGAGATACCGCAAATGCAATATCCTGAAGATAAGTAAGTTATATTTTATTCAAACAAAATGCTGCTAGCCAATCAAGATATAATTCTCAATCATATATTCTTATTAGACTTCCAAGAATAATTGTTTGCGGTTATACGGACGTGCTTCCAAAACTCGTAGTAGCGGATACCGAACGGAAAGGAAAGGAAAAGTGTTTTGAAAAATTAACCGGCAAACTAACCGAGTCTTTAACGATGCAGGAAAAATTGGTCAAAGAAAATGCGCAACTGGAAGGTGGAAAGTATGCTTGTCTTTTGTATAATAAATTCTAAATATATATTCTATAAATACATAAATGAAATAAATGAATTATATTTAATATAAAAATTTTATATATATATAAATTTCATTAGAAATTATACTTATAAAAACTTTAAGAAATATATATCTGACGATATTTCATAAATAACATATATATGAAAAATTTTTAGAAAAGATGTAGATTTTTTGAGAAGTGTTCCAATTCATATAAAAAAATGTAAGAAAGTTATATAAAATTATATAGAAATTCTGAAAAATTATATAGAAATTCTAAAAAATTATATGAAAAATTTTGAGAAAAATTTTCACCAGGGATGGCTATACATGTAAGTGATTATTATAAAATAGCATAAGGCATAAAATATTAAGAGTTAAATTTAGATTTACTTTTTTCAAGATGTCTATATATTTTAAAAGAACAAACTTAATATTTTAAACTAAAGTTAAAATAATTATAGTTTTGAATAAGATAAACAGAAACAAATGTATCAATTGACTTTTTTAGGACACTTGATATAATGCAAAAAAGAATTTAATACCCGATAGTTATTTTATTTATATGACAAATAATAGACGATCAAATAAAATGTTTGAAAATTAAACGGTTCCCTCGGTGACGATTTCACGATGTTTTCAGCAATTTGAAGCATGTCAATCATACGTCACTTATACGTAACTCGGTTTTATGATATACTAATATCATAACAATGAATGAAATGTGCACGTTAATGATTGTTTCGTTCGCGAAAGTTTTATAACATCTTAATCTTACTTTTAAATGATCTTTTTATATTCGTCTCTCACTTATATTCTATAATATATTAAAATAAAGCGAAAAATGAAGATTGTACGGAAAGCTGTGTTGTCTTGCAAAATAGGTACAAACTAGAAGAAGCATTGCTAGAAAAAGATACAGCTCTCGAAAGTTTACAGAAGAAGGTATGCAGTCTGCAAGCAGAAATGCGTATAATTGTCAAAGAAAATATGGAGTTGAGTCGCCAATTGGCTACTTTAAATCAACTAGTGATTAGACCTACTTGCTGTTACACCTGCCCAGGTGTTACTCCGTCTCCTCCATCAACGTCACCGACGTTATCTTCGCGTCCGCATGTCAACGCGCAACCTCGAGACGACATTTACTGCCGATGCAAATGCTGTTTGCGATCATCGTACACTGACACTTTATCACCAACTACGGAAACTGCATGCAGTAAGACGAATAATTGACAAAATATGGTAATTCGGTCGTTAAGAAATAATGTAGTAGAAACGAGATATTTTGCATATCTGTTAAAAAAAGGTTTGCAAAGGCGATGAATTTTTCTATAAAAAAAAGAATGTTCAATCTCGCAGATTCACCGAGGCTTACAGGAGGTGGATCGCCAACAGAGGAACGTTACCTCGCAGATAGCAACGATTTGCAAAACGTAGAGATGTGTTCCCGAGGTCCAGTCGTCGTTAAACCATTGCTTCCTCGAGGAACGTGTCCTGCAGAATTGGAAGATAAACTTGCAACATATGGCAATAGTACTAAACAATTAGTAAGTTTTAAAATGTGTTGGAGATAAACGCGATTCTTTCTACAATAGTAAAAATTGAGAACAATGTAAATAAAAATAATTAAAAAATTTTTTGAAAATATAATCTTTACATTTCCTTATAGTCTGATAAATCACAATACAACCAGTGAGAGAAGAGATAATTTTTATATTTTATACATTTCTATTTCAAAACTAATCAATCTTTTATTTATTGTTCATATATTAATTGTATGAAATGGTAAAAAAAAATATATATACATAATAAATTCTATGTCTGATATTCTGTGTAAAAAAATAGTTAAAAACTAATTGATAAAATCTATAGAATGTGTAATATCGGTTCATCTTATGATTCCAGGAACAGCAATTAGGCAGTATGGAGACTGAGGTACGTAACATGCAGATGGAATTAGCAAATGTGCAGCGAGAGCGACAACAATTGGAACAGCAACGTAAATTGCTCAAATGCACAGGACCTTGTGCACCGTGCGCTTGTTGCCCACCTCTGACTTCGACATGTATGACACCCACGCCAGGACTTCCGTTAATGGGTATTTCAAAGGTACCTGCAGTGTCTGTACAGATACCTGTACAGTTTTATTTTAACCAAATTTTTCAAATAATATTCACCTTTCAAACAATATGAGTTTTTACGTGTATACTTCCCTTAAGAAAAAGAACTGATTAGCGTTCCAATAAACTGTTTAACCATATAACTGATGATATTTTATCAATTATTGCAGTCCCTGGCGGAAAAATTTCGCTGAAATTATTTCACTTTTCAGCACTAAATACTTTTCTGCAAAATTTCAGCAAAATATAAGAGAAATTTCAGTTCAATTTTAGAGAAATTTCAACGATTTTTCAATATGTTAGCTGAAAAATTCACTTTCAGTGAAATTTCAACAAATTTTCAGCAATTTCGCTGAAATTTTCCAAAACGTAGAGTAATTTCAGTGACATTTTTTCACCAGGGATATCATCAGTTATTGAAAAAACTAATTAATTTATTGAAATACTAATCAGTTCTTTTTTCTAAGGGTTCTTTTTAATGTATTTTTATAATTTTTATATGCTACCTTCCACAATTAGATCGCGCTATTTGTTTTTGCCATTTAAACAGATAATTGATAAGTAGCGAGTAAAAAGTAATATATTTTTTTTATCGAATATAGACGATTGCACAGGCTGCACCTCTAATGTGCAGTGGTTCTTGTACAAACGCTACCATGGTAAGACTAAAGCAAATTTAATTGAATGCTTTGAATAATCGTAATAATATAATTTATGACCGAAGGGCACTAATACTTGCGTTCAACAATTACGCGATCTTCGTGAACAATACGCCCGGCTTCAAGATGATTATAAAAATAAGTTGTGTGAGGTATCGTGTATGAGGACAGAAGCAGAGAAATTCAAGCAAGATTTGCGCGATGTAAAGGAAAAGAAGGAACGAATAGAGATAAAACTGATAGACGTTCAAGAGCGATTAAAATTTCTAGAAACAGAAAAGAGAAAATTTGAAGGTAATTCACTATAGAAATAAGAACTATATGATATAAAGTTCCGATTTAATGTATGTAACAAAAAGTATATTAATTTCGAGACAGGTCATAAGGAACATCTCATCGAACAGGAACAAGCTCTGATGGTGGCGAAACAACGCTTTCGAGAAGCGCAAGATGAATTAGAAGAACTTCGTTCCTTGATTCAAGATCAAGCTGCTCAACTGGAAGATTATCGCAATAAATATTTGCAAGTTGTTATCGTTGCGACTTTTTGAATAAATTATATTCGATGCATTTTTTTCTCAAATGTAAGCGATTATAAAAATGAAATCAATATAATCTTAGGCCCAGCAACAAGTTGAAGAACAGCGTAGACAATTAGATCTCATGGAAATGGACAATGCACGAATGAATGAGAATGTTACTTTGGAGATCGGACGTGTTAAAGTATATCAAATACTAATATAATTGCAATTTGTTTGAGTTATGTAAAGATATTTTCATTCTGTATATATATTAATTAATGCAATTAGAATCAATTTCAAGAGAAATTAGCTGAGCTTGCACCGTTGCCAGATATTTTGAAACAAATGCAAATGAAGATGCAGGAAGCGCAACAGATGCGCTTAGTCGCTGAACGTAGCTGCGAGGATTTGTCGCGAGAATTGCTAGGGTGCAAAGATAAGATTCAAACTTTGCAAAATCAATTGGACGTATTGCGCACCGAGCATCAAACACTTCAGGTTGTAATTTGCTGCATAATTTAATAGTAACTTCATTATGTTAATTAAAAATAATCAATTACTATATTATGTGTAGGATGAAAGGGGACTTGGTTCCGGCAAGTCCGAAGAGATGGAAAAAAAGTGTGGCGAGTTGCGACACGAAAACGAAAGAATGAAAAACACATTGGCACGATTTGAGGAACATGAAGCACAGTTGCAAAAACGTATTGACGAGAAAATGCATGAAAACACGCAACTGTCATCAATGTTGGAACAGGTATGTGTTGATTTAGTGATAAAAAAATGTTATTCGTGAATACTAGTTTCCTGTTTAAGATAAGGGAGGATTCCGCTAGACAAGTAGCGAGAACAAAGGAGCGATGTGAAACTATGCGAAGATCGATGCAAGGCCAGATTGCTGAAATGGAAAGGCAATTGGCACAGTGTAGAGCAACAGCACGTGCCGCCCAACGAGACAGAGATGAGGTAACAATTGCAAATACCATGTAGAAATGTTAATAGACAAGAGTGTATTTACGACACGTTTCCCATTAATGCATGCAGATCAGACAAAAGATGCAGAGTCAAATAAATAACTTAAACGAGGCATTTAAACACGCGCAAGGCCGTATGAAATCGTTACAAGGTCATGTAAACTATCTCAAGACTTCTTATAGTAATATCTTTCTCGGACAAGGAGAAGCACCGACAAGTGCTTTGCCAATAGACGATTCTTGCGATTGCAACTATTAAATGCACATGATTTTTCAATAATAATGCTATATATTTATGTTCGTGTATATATATATATATATAGCGAAATTAAAATATATTACTCGACGTCACACACAAACCTTGTTATGCATTTATACTTTAATGACATTTTGTTACAATTGATAAAGTTGATTGATAAATAATTGTTATATCGTGTCACCCTTTTTATAAATTTTTAAATTATAAACAACACATTTGAAATATAAAAAAATAAAATCAAAACTTATGCACATTTTACTGTGACAATTACTTATATCATTATTCTTAACATATGGTTTAATTGTAGTACTTATCGTATACTATTTCACATAGACTAATTTCTTCACATGGAAAATATATTATGAATGCATAGGTACAACGTTTCTTATCAGAAATTTTAACAAAAGTGGCATGTATCATTGTTAGATATGCATATATTGGATGTAAACATATCTTTTTCATTATATGTTTTATTTAACAACTATGGTTTTTTTATAAGCAATAAAGTAGGACGATACTATAATAGTTCTGTAGTGGTTGAGAAAAAAATAAACAATAAAAATATGATATATGTACATATGAAAAAAAAAGAATAACATTGAGATGGATTTCTTTAGTTTGTATCCACTGAATGAAGCATATTGAGCATATTAAGAATAGCATCCGAACGTGATCGCATCCTTTCCATTTCCATTCGAAATTCTTCCAGTTGAGATTCAATTCGCTGTGCGTACGCATGGCAGCATCTGTAAACAAGTAAAACAATCTTGAAAGAATATATAATCTGAGAGGAACAGATATTTATTTTTATTACAATTCAAGAGAGATTTCCATTTTTACTAATAAAAAATATCATAAATTTCATAAATGATGTTACATCAAGTTGCTACCACAATTATGGAATACTTATGTATAATGAAAAAAGTTTTAAGAAATATTTGAAAGCACACCTTCCAGGTTGTCCTGCGTTTGAACACAATGGTTCTGGAGATGCACACGGCGAAATTTTGATTTGTGGAGAACTTCTTAAATAAGATTCCTTCTTGTGTGTACAGCTTTTGTTATTATTGGATACATTAGGATTAGAATTATAACAATCTCCACACCCTCGTACAAGATCCATTAAAATTCCTCGTACCCTTTTCCCAATTATTCTTCGTCGTCTCATCTAAAGAAAAATAATTATAATGAGTCACACATACAGTTATAATCATACAGATTTTTGTTATGTTCATAAAATTATTCATAAATGATGTAAACTTACCTCTGGTCTTTCACTACATTGTTTCAGAGTTATTAATGGCTCTTCTTCATGTATATTAGGAGATGAGTGACTACAGGATTCGTTATATTCCCGATCTGTATTCATTATTAGTGGCTCACAAGTTTCTTTTAACATAGTACAAAATTTATGATTTTCTTGACAATTCTCTGGATTGTGCGGTGAATGATACGCCGTATAATTTTTACAAATGTGCTCGTCATCTTCTGAGGCAATATTTTCATGTAAATGCTTGTTAGGCTCTAGGTTTCTTGAAAAACTTTGTCGATGTTCTTGGGTGCTTAACTTTTCTTTGCTATAAATAAAACTATCTTCGAACTTTTGCTTTTCGTTATGTAAGGAACAATTGCACTTCTTCTCTGACGTGTCTATATCATGAGTGCAGTAGGAATGTAATTTTTCTTGGGGATGTATTCGTTTATATCTTTGCCATTCCTTACGATATTTTGAGAAATCACAGTCTTCACACGCATTTGAACTACATAATTTATCTGCTTTATCTGTAGAACAAGATGCTTTTGCTATGTTAAACGAAGGTGAATTTAGACATGAAAAATTAGATGCTGCTGAAGATAGTTCAAATTTAGGACTTTTTGATTTTTTACTTGTTGAACATACTAAATTACTGCCATTGAATCTAGTATTTGGCGTCTTTTGCCAACAATGATAATTTTTATCTTTCATTTTAGTAGATGCTTCTGTGTCATTTTCAGTTTCAGCAGTGGATTCTTGACTGATCTGAAAAATACATTTTAGTTTGAGTACAACAGAATCTTGAAACTAGTTTTTTTTAATTATAATTTATAAGATCACTTACCTCTTTACCCCAAATGTTGATTGTACCGTTCATTTCAGACATTCTTACTTCTACATTACCAAGTAAGTATGGACCGCATTCTCGTCTGCGTCCTTTTTCATTAATAGCCTTATCATTTTCAGCCTCCTCTGCTAGAATAAGAAAACTGCGATCTTTACTATTTTCATCCTCGCGATATACAAAGCACTTTACATTATCCTCTGGATCATCAGCGGTTTCTGTCTTGCTCTCTACTATAGATGTAGCAGTTCCTAATTGACTTGTATTGGCATTAGGTAAACTTGATTGCAAATCTACATTCTTATTTACTGAATCACATGAGTTTTTAAATTGGGATTCTGAAGGCGTTTCATTTAACTTTGGATGCAGTTCTACAGAGGCTTGGGAAACTTTAAAAGATTGTAGAAAATTAGATGGTTCAAGAATGTCTGTAATCTTTCTTTTCTTAGAGCTGGAAGGGAGACATTGATAACTACTATCATCATTTTGCAGATCCATCGATACATTTTCATTTGATCTTTTCTTTGAATTTTGTACCAATGGATTTTCTGGCTTTGTTTTTCCTTGTGTAATACTTGAAAGAGTTTGCAAGATTCGGGAGGAAGTAATAAATGCGCGTGATAATGAACGTGTTTTCCTTGGTGTACCGTCAGTCAGTATTATACTATCGTCAGACTGTAATGTTTTTGCTATTTCGGGTGGTTTAATGGATACTGATAAATTACAGGCACTGGAACTCCACTGATCTATAGAGCTTAACGTCGAAGCGACACTGCTACCTGATATTTTATTGTTGGATTGTTTGACATGTGTAGGCTCAGTTTGATCTTGGGGTTGATTAGATACAGAATCGATAAAAATGTCTGTTTGAACTGATGCAACCTTCTGTTCCGGAGGTTTGTTTTCTTTTTCATATTTTGCTAATGTTTTTCTCAATTCATCCAACTCTTGTTTCATTTTTAGATTTTCCATAAGCTGCTTTTGATATGTATCAAGCAGACTGTTATATTTTACAGTTTTCTGTGTTAATTTCTTTTTCAATGTGGTAACTTCTGAAGTATCCAAAGTCGTCTTAAATTCTTCATTTGTTTTTTCAAGAGGTATTTGCTCATTATTATGTTTTGCTTCATCTGACATTGTCTTAATGCTTTTTATATTCTCAATCCTTAAAGAACAAGTATCTTCTTCTCCATCTGTGGATACTTCCATTAGATCTGAATTATTAAATGCCTCAGGTTGAATATGTTCTTGCTCAATAACATGGGCGTTCTTATTTAAATCAGTTTTTTGACTAGAATTAGAAGTGCCATGCATATACTCGTCATAACTTAAAGTTCGCAAATCGTAAAATACCGTTGGTACTTCTTGATGACCATTTTGAGTAAGAGATGGAAAATTTGGAGTTTCTTTATCAGTATAATTGAATTTTAATGATTTATTTTCAATTGTTCCATTTTGTTTTTGCATTTTACTATCTATATTCGCAAGATCTCTTTCATTCTGTGTTGACTCAAATGGTATATCTATTTGAACTTCAGTCTGTATGGATTCTTCATGTATTGACTCTAAACAGTTTTTATTTTCTTGTCCATTCAATATTATTGGCGTAATAATAGCATCATAGGCCTCTTTATCCATCATGTTTTTTTCTGCGATTTGTAACTCCTTGATCATTCTTTGGGCATAATCTTTTATTGTCTTGTGAATCACTATAGGCGTTGTTTTTTCTGTATCATTGTTTTTATGATCGCTGTTGCTTTTATAGTGAGTTGTATCTTCCTGATGTTGTTTTACATGTTTTTCCATGGAACGTCTATTTTGTTCTTTTATATCTTTGATATAGCGTTTAACTTTGCTTTGTACATAATGATATTTTTCTGGCATTGGTTGCTTTCTCTGAATCATAGAATACATAACAGCTTGCTCTGAAATGTTTGGATAATTTGGCCTTAAACCTTGTGGGTGTCTTCTTTTAAAATATCCATCATTCACATTATTCTTGTATATTTTCAAATCTTGAAGAGAAAGGCTCTTTTCTTTGTGACGATTTTTCAATCTCCTATTAAAGATAAAATCATCAGATCTTCCATCATAATAATCTGTTTCGTAATTATCATCATCATGCATTTGTCTAGGATTGTCTTCATCATCTTCTTCATCTTCGTCATCTTCATCATCGTCCTCGTCATCCATTAAATGCTTCATGTTACTTGGATGATCCGAATCAAAATCATTATCAAGCTCTAAATTTTCCATATCTGTAACATAATGAAAAATATATACTAAAAAATATACAGTTATATCAATATTATAAGTGCAAAGACATCGACTATTTACTTGAAATAATATGTACTAAGCCAATTGTATTCTCTTATTATCTACAAGTCTATTAAACTTACCGTCACTATCTCCATATTCATCTTCGTCATCTTCGTCGTTATAAGGATGCTGATCGGTTTCTTCTCCAGATGATAAAACATACACACTACTCGCTGCTTGATCGTCGCTGGGATAGGGACTCGGGCTACGATCCTCTTCCACCTCTTGAGACTCATTTTCGGGCTGCTTCATGTTAACGTCCGAGTCATCTGGTCTTGTGATACTAGACACGCTAATGTACGTCGGCATTTCCTCATCCTCGAGCAGAGCCGTATCTACCTGATTCATTAATTTTGTTTCGCTCTTGGATGAATCGTTAGGAAGATCTTCCATCGCCTTTGTCTCCGTTTCGGTGTCGTCCGGCGAGTGCTCGCTGTTCTCAGACATCGTGGAAAACTACGGGCGAGAAGGAATCACGGATTATTATCGACTGATGTGATCTAACGATCGAAGACGTGGATTAACAACGCGACAATTCGCTGTCCGATTTATTTCCAATTTCTAGACGCTTCCCGGCCCGACGAACATATGTGGCGCGCAATGGAAAACTTTTTCATCAGCCGCCATTACAGGCCACACTTTGGACGATATCTCGTAATATCGTCGTGTCGCATCGTTTACTCTCTACATGTCGTCGCAAATAATTCGCGTTCTCGCTTGATAATACGGATTGCTAGCTGAATGGACAATCGGCCGTTAAGACGCACTCTCTCTTTCTCTCAATACCGAGCCATTATCCAAGCAAGATGAATGACCTGCACGTTGCAGGACTATACGTATATATGTGATGGAAAGAATCGAGCGGGTCTACCTCTTTTCACCCGCGAACTCGCTTGATGTGACCGCGCGATAATAATCGAAAGTTTGATTCGTACCGAGCGTGTCAACCGATCGAAATTACAGATCGTTTAGATCATTTAAATTTACAGCAAGCACTTTTCGCTCCTCGCACTGTGTATATACATACAAACGCACCGCTGACACCGCTAAACCGCTGTAAATGCCGAGATTAACGCCACTCACGCGCATGCGCGCTCTGTACGAGTGTAGGGAATCGCAGAATATATGTAACATACATACACACGCCGAGAGCTCCTTTTAATTCGTTTTATTATCGATCCCGGCCTTTGGCGCATACGAACGAAAATTCATAGCGTGCATTTTTCCTTTTCTCTTTTTTTGGACAAACCTAACC